TCACCTCCCAGCCCTTTGACACATGGCCCAGGCTGAACTCTTTATTGTCACCACAAAGCTTTTTCTTAAATCCTCAAATAATTTCTGTGGCTGTTTTGCCTCCACTCTGGTTTTGTAATATCTCTAAAAATTTGGTAGATCACAGAGAGGGGAAGAAATGGAAGCATCCTGGACACAGGCCGGAAGGCCAGCCAGAGGGCATGGCAGGTGGGTAAGGAAGGTATCTCTAGTGCCAGGAATGTGCTTCCTTCTAGGATATGCAGGGAATCTGGGACTTCCTGAATCTTGGCATTCCTGAGTCAGGTAGCAAACTGTCCATGCTTCTCTGACTGTGGTGGTCTCTGCTCATATTTTCCTCACTGGGCAGGAAGGTCTTTGTGAGCCCTCTTGTTGAGTCTGGTATGGGGGTTACAGAAGTCTGCTTCTTTCCTTGGAAATACCTGATTTTCCTCCCTGTCAGGGTAGTTTTCTGCTTTATCTGCAGCCTTGTCCAGAAAGAGAGACTTGTGTTTTAAGGTGTGACATCCTGTTGCCACTACACACTAGCACAGGCTTTTCTTTTCCTTCCAGTCCTGTTATTGGAAATCCAGAAGTTATATTTAAAATGTAACCCTAACTTTTAATCTAAGCCTCAACATTCAGTGTGTGCCAGACATGGGGAAGGATCTGTGGTTTCAGAGCAGGATGCTGCCCTTCCTCTGGCAGGGCATATTTGCATTACGGTGGGCAAGCCAGAGAGGTGGAGACTTTCCACAGTTCACTGTTTGTGTCTTTCTTGTTATACAGCATGTGGTTTGGGAAAGCTGCAGAAGTGTTCACACTGTGTCAAGAGACGTTGGGGTTTGTGTGGTGGCCAAGGGGCTCTAGGAGGGCTGAATGTGATGAAAACCAGGCCCCAGTATCTCAGAGCCCTCAGAGTCAGAGACTCTGCGATCTAAGTCATCAGTTTGTCAAGGGGAACAAACCACAGGTTGTTGTGAAGGTCTCAGGAATTGTTTCTTGATCATTTAGCTGCAGTCCTTCAAGGAAAAACACAGGAGGAAACTTATTTGTTACTGAGTTTGAGCATTTGTGTAAAGCAAAAGAGGCATGAAGTACTGATCAATATACTCATGGGGCAGAGCCTGGAGGAGGCTGTGCTGTGAGAGCGCTGGGCAAAGGAGTGCACAGAGGCAAATTTGGGTTGAACTCGTGATGAGTAAGTTTAGCTCTCGTGGTTGTATTCCTGGATTTTACATCTTTCACATTCTGTGGAGACAGAGTTTGTGTGTGTGGTTGTATGTGCTGGAAGGAATATCTGGATGATGGTGCATGTGATGTGGGAAGCAGTGTGCCTGTTGCAGGGAAGCTGGGTTGTGCTTGGCCGCTGGAGAAAAGAGGAGAGAGCAAAAAGCACCAGGTTCTGTCCCTACCTCAACACTGCTGGTCTTAACACTTGGTGCAGGGAGCCTGCACACAACAGCTGCAGGATCTTCCTTCTGGCTTTGGAAAGCAAATTTTCTGCACTCATTGCAGATTCGTACTGCGAGACACTGCCTGTTGATGGCCCCCCCTCTTTCCGGGGACAGTCCGTGAAGTATGTGTACAAGCTGACCATTGGCTGCCAGCGCGTCAACTCACCCATCAAGCTCCTGCGTGTGCCCTTCCGTGTCCTCGTGCTGCACGGTAAGGCCACGCACTGCCTTCCCTGCACAGGCAGGCCAGGCTGCACCCTGCCCTGCTAATACACTCACCTTCTTCCCAGGGCTCAAGGATTACCAGTTCCCACAGGATGAGGCTGTTGCACCCTCAAACCCCTTCCTGGAGGAGGAGGAGGGCTTGAAGAAAGACTCTCGCCTGGCAGACCTAGCAACAGAACTGCTCATGGTGGCCACCTCCCGACGCAGCCTGCGTAGGTCATATTCCCTGCTCAAACCTGCTGTCCTTCCTGAGAAGCTGGGCATGGAGAACATCTCAAGGCCAGCTGCAAAATATCTCTCACTGACAAAGTGAAGCTCCAGCAGTGCTGTGGAGCAGCTCTATCAGGGCCTGCTTGGGTCAGGGCCTCCTAGCCAGACTCAGGCAGTTTCTGCTTCAGACCAAGAGACCCTCTGCCCAGCACATGGCAGCCAGTTTAGGGTTTGCCCTTGCTCACTGCAGAAATTTCCCAGAGGGAATTCCACCTCTAGGGACTGTCCTTCACACTCAGACAGGAGGCATGAAGTCATGTCATTAACCCAGAGCACCGCACAGAGCAGAGCCTTGTGCTGCCGCAACCCTTACTCCTCTTCTTGCTCCACAGACCTGTATAACATCAGCAACACTCGTGGGAAGGTGGGGACGTTCTGCATCTTTAAGACTGTGTATAAGATTGGAGGAGGATGTCATTGGCACCTTCAGCTTCTCAGAAGGAGATATCCCATGTCTGCAGGTCATTGCTGTCTCTGGGATTACTGGGGAGCGGCAGTGGTTTAGAATGAGGGATGTGGAGAAGGGATTGGGGTGGCACTGGGCTGTGAGGGTTTCTGGTGGGACCCAGCTGGGGTCTCCTTGGAGTGTGAGGTGGGACAATGGTCCAGTCCTGAGTTCGTTTGGGAAATGGAGACCCCTAAAGCTTTGCATGAGATCTGTATGAGCTTGTGAGAGCATGCACCCTGCCAATTGCCCTGCAGTTCTCAGTGAGTCTGCAGACAGAGGAGAGCATCCAGGAGGAATTCCAGCGCCGGCGGGGGCGCCTGTCTCCTTCACCGTGCACGCCCGCCATCAGGAGTCCTGCCTGCACACGGGCACAGAGCAGCTTCAGCCTACCCATCCAGCTCAGCTCAACCCCAGGATTCACCACCAACATCGGTTAGTACCCACCAGGGAAGGGTCCAACCCTGCTTGTCTGTACAGGAGGACTGTGATATCCCCAGCCTTGCCTTGCTCAGCAGGGATGCGTCCCTTGGGAGGGAGCTGGCCTGTGTGAGTGGGGTCATTTGCTGTCACCTTGCCAGGACAGACTGTGCTGAGACAGCTGCTGTCCATGGCTCTTGTGGGTGTTATGTATTGACTGTTCTCTTGTCCATAGTGTCCCTGAAGTGGAGGCTGCACTTTGAGTTTGTGACTTCTGGGGAGTCAGCGGGAACTTGCTTGGTTCGTGGGAGCCAGTCGGAGGCTGTCACCTGGACTGGGGTGGAGCAGATGGAAGTGGACACCTTCAGCTGGGACTTGCCCATCAAAGTTCTTCCCACAAACCCATCCTGGCTTCCTATGTATCTCAGTACTCCAGCACTAACTCCATCACCATCTAACGTAGGGAGAGGTTGTTGGCTTGCAGAGCTGCAAGCGTGTGCCACCTCTGGGAATGGCAGGCAGGACTGTCACCACTGTGCTGTGATGTACGCATCCCAGTGTCCCCTTGGATTCATCTGTGATGCACCGGTGGGCACCAGGCATGTCTGTCCTGTCCATGGGTGGAAAAAGACTGCTTGATGCAGTGTCTTGGGCTGCAGCCCCCAGCTGGAGCTGGACCCTTCCTGCCTGGGTGAAGGTGAAAGTCCCAGCACTCAGCAAAAAGGAATCTGCCTTCCCAGGGAATCGCTGATGTGCCTTTATCTCATGTGGGATTTCCAAGAAGGAAGGGCCCAGCGCAGGGAGGGGAGAGGAGAGCTCTTCCAGTGCTCCAGGGGAGCTCTTTATACCACCCTTGGGTGAAGGCTGTGCCTTACAGAGACCCTACAAGCAGAGGTCTGGCATCCAGGTGAAACACAGTGGCCACCTGGGCTGGGTGAGACACTGCTCTCCTGCCTTGGCATGTGTCCTGCCTCTTGGAGAGCTGTCCTACACATACAGTCCAGTGCCCCAGCCACCCCCGCCTGGAGGAGGCGGGTCATGGCAGGCCAGGCCTTGTGCTGGTGAGCAGGATGCAGGCTCTGGCTGTGTCAGTACCATCACAATGGTCCAACACTGAGCAGCACTGAGTCCCTGGGCTGTTGTCCGCCTGGGCTCCTGGTGTGAAAGCATCCTGCTGGTCTTTGGATCATTGGGTGCTGTAAGGAATGCATGCATCCAAGAGCATCTTCCTGCTCAACAGCCAGTTCCCATTTACTGAACTTTCCAATGAGCTTTTTTTTTGCATGGAAATGTAATAAACATCTGAATGTGCAAAGTTTGGCTTTCCCAAGAGCCTTATTCCTACACTGTTCCTGGTGCTGGACACATCCCACCTTCTACAGCAGTCACAGGCTGGAGACCTCTTTGTTCAGTATCTTTATTGCAAGAACAGAAACACCTACACAAGGCTCTGCACAACACAGGCATGGCACCAGCTGGGGCAGCTGCCAGGTGGCTGCCTCCCCTCTGGCACTTGGTTTGCTTCTGCTTCCTGAACCCTCCCCATCCTGCTCCCTTGCCAGTGGGGATGAGGGTCTCCCCTGGGGACATCCCGTTCTGCCGCACAGCTTGGGCTAGCTCTGTTACAGTGTTGCCCAGGGCTGGCCTACATTGCCAGGGACCCCAGGAGCTTTTGGAACAGGGGCGTTAGTGGTTCAGAGGTGGGTTGTGCCCCTTGCACTCCGGGAGCAGAGAAGGGGCTGGACAGGGTGTGGGGATCCTGCACGAGCTGCTGTGGTGACCCCAGCGAGCTGCCCACAGCCTCTTTGCTGTGGAGTACAGGTCTGGGAGGGAGTAGGGAGCTGTTTCGCTTGGGGTTGGATATCAGAATGCAGGACTGCCATGGAGCTGGCTGATTTAGTCCTGTAGCCTTTTTTTAGTCACTAAAGATTTTCTGGCCACCTGAAGGAGATCCCGTAGAATCTGCGTTTCCACGGTGTACAGAACACCACAAGGAGGACACCCTGGTTCAGGAAGCTAAAGGCAGAAGCAAGGCTTGGTACCATGTGCGTGGATAGTGGTTTCCTTCGAAGGTGCCGGCGGTGATGCCTCTACAGGGCGGGTGGAGCAGATCTGGAGCATGCGGGCGGTGTGCTTTGGAGGGGAGAGGGAGGCGCCGAGGGGCGCGGCGTGCTGCCGAGCCTCTCTTATCTGCCCAGCCCCGTGCTCAGCACCTTGTTCACCAGCGGCTCGGGAGTGCTGGCCGAGCCCCACTCGTGCTCCACACTCTTCACGCACGGCAGGCTGGGGTTGGCCTTCTGCACTACCGAAATCTGGCAGGTCTGTGAGTCGTAGTGGGCCTCGCACCAGTCAGGGAAGTCGATCGGGTGCTGGGTGCTGTGGGAAAGGAAACGGTGCCATCAGTACCCCTCATTAGTGCCAGAGAGCTGCTGACTGGGATGGATGGCTTCCTGCTGCCAGCCCCCTGCACAGGGTGTCTTCCAGACCAGCTCAGGCAGGCTGAAACACGGCTCCTGGCCCATCTGGGCATCTTGCTGTGCCAAAATACCCTTTCCAACTGCCCCAGCTCACCCCACCATCCTCAATGCCCTGGTGGGGTCCTGCTTACCTCTGCCTCTTGTTCCCCAGGGCCTGGTACCCCATTGCCCTCCTAAGGCTCTGATATCAGCTGCATTTGCAGCCACCAGACACCCACTGCTGCAGATGCAGATGCAGCCCACCCCAGCCCAGCCCCTCACTCACGTCTCACAGCAGCCCACGCCAATGGGGTGCAGGCAGGTGCAGAGCAGGCAGTTGGTGCTCAGCCACGATTCCCCAAGGGAGAACTGTTTCCCTTCATACTCACAGGGAGCTGCAAAGGAAACAGTGGTAATGAGAACACATGGGTCTGTGCTGAGGACAGCTGGAAGCCTCCTTGACAGTCCTGTGCCCCAAACAGGAGCAGAAGTATCATGATGACCACCTTATGCTATGGAAGATATATGGTGGTCTATGCACCATCCTGCAGGTATGGAATGCCCTGTCATCTCTCGTGGTGATGTACGCATCTCATGGTATCATCTCATGGTGATGTACCCATCCATCCTCTCCTGGCCCTGTCTTGTGGCTCTCACCACTACCCCGTGGGTCTAGAGCAAGAAGCAAATGGCTCTTGCTTCCCTGGAGAGGACAAATCCAGTGCCCCTTACGGTCTGGGCATTTCTGCAGCCCTGGGAGGAGACAACAGGGGGATGATGAGCCGCCCTCCTCCCTTTGCTGCTAGACCTGCACATTTGGCCCCAGCCAGGCGTCTGCCAGGAGCCTTTATGGCCCAGAAAGCTGTTTCTCAGCCAAAGCCCTGGAGAGCTGTTCTGTGGTTTATAGACTGCTCCTTCCACTCACACTGGCCCATGATCCCATTCCTGAACTCAGCACAGTCCCTTTCATACTTCTCAGTCTTAAGGAAGAACCCTGCCATGCTGGGAAATCTGAGGCCTCCTCTTCCCATCTCACCTCCCCACTTACCTTTAGCCTGGAAGTAGCATTTGGCCTGGGAGCCTGGCAGCTGGAGGAGGAGGGAAAGAAGCAGGCAAAGCCTGCCCCAAGCACACCTCATCTTCTGTGCTTGCATGGCCATAGATGGTTGAGCTGGACTTGTTCGCTTTGCTTCTCTATTGCCTTTGCTCCTTTGCCTTCTTTTTCCCTTTCTCTCTCTCTGCCTTTTTAATGCTCTTCCCCTGATCCCAATGAGAGATATTTATAAAGTTCAGCTTTACGACCCTGGCCACCAGCTGTGCCCCACTGGAAAAGTTGTAAAACTCATTTCCTGATTTGAAAGGCATGAAAACAAGAGGTAGGATCAAGATTTTTAACAAGCTGTGAAAAGCTGATTCATGCCCTCCAGAAATTTCTCCAGTTGGAAGCCCCTGTGGGTGCAAGGCTCTACAGCAAGGAGAGATCCAAAGGTCCCCAGCAGCGTTGCCCTCCGCAGTGTAGTGCGCACATAAGCACCAAGCACAGGAGACCCTGGCTCCTGACCAGGAGAGCTCCAGGCTCCCCTCTGGTCATGCTGAGCCGTCACTGCTCCTTCACAGCGAGCCAAGGTTTGGGAGCATCTCATCTTAGTGACCAGTCTCAGTGACCAGAGCAGCACAAGCATTCTGCTAACAGTGTGGGATGCAAATGGCACCATCCTCATTTGGGGATGGAGGTGCATGCACCCACTCCTGAGTACCACATCCTGTCACTTTCACCCCAGCCTGGGCTGCAGCTGTGCCAGGTTCATAGCCATGCATGAGCAGGGGATGGGAACAGCAGGTTTAAAATCACAGAATCACAGAATATGCTAAGATGGAAGGGACCCATCAGGATCACCGTGTCCAACTCCTAGCCCTGTGCAGGACACCCCAAGAATCCCAGCATGTGCCTGAGAGTGTTGTCCAAACACTTACTGAGCTCTGACATATTTGGTGCTGTGACCAGAGCAGACAGTATAGCAACTGCCTCTGATGCAGAACAGGAGAGAATGAACCAGGGCTCATCTGAGCAGTGCCCATGAAAGAGGACTGTGTCTGTGCACCTGGTGCACCCACAAGGTATTGGGGATGAGCATCCTCTTCCAGAGGCTGCAGACTGGCCCCAGCAGAAGCAGGAAACAGGAGGGATAAAATCGGAAGGCCAAAGTGCTTTTGGGCAACAGGTAACCTGAAAGGTAAACAAGGGACTTGGCTGGAAGCAAGGACCTGTGGGAATGTGCCACATCACCCAGGGTTGTGCCTGTGGACCTCACAGACCCTCACCCAGAGGGGCTGCTTCTGTATAGAATAAAAAGACTGTTACCAGCTGGCAAAGTGAGCTGATGTGCAAGAGCGAGTAGGTCAGAGCCCTGGGAGCCGCATGGCCCCGGAGAGCTACAAGCAAAGGGCTGACTTGCCAAAAGAAATTCACAGTCCTTGTCAGAGGTGCTGCCAGCAGCAGGAAACAGGGCTCTGGGGATGGTCCAGCCGGGGGCTCAGCCAGTGCAGGACCATGCCAGCAGTGAGGCAGCATCAGCAGCAGTGGCATATATGGGTCATCTGCCCCTGCAGATCCCTGTTTCTGAGAGTTTGGGACAAATTTACACCTTGACGCGTGAGGCTTAATATCCCTTCCAGAATTTGTATTGGCATTCACTATTATAGCTAGATATTTTTCTTATCCCTGTAAGTGCCCAATCCCTCATTGAATCCTGCTAAATGTTGGCCTGAGCATTTTCCTGTGGCAGTCTAATTAAGCACAGAGTGAGAAAGAAAAATGCTTCCTTTTATCCGCTTTATCCGCTTTGGATTCACCGCCTTCGGATTTGAAGGCATAGTCCCTTCCCTTTGGTGCTCTGGGCCCCTTTGCCATCCCATTGCATCCATCTCCTGCAGCTAGTGCTCTCACTGCTGAGGGAGAAACCCTGGCTTTGCATCCCTTCTTCGCCTTAGAGAATTACCCCAACCCTGTTGTAGTGCCGCGGATGATGCTGTGTCCCTTGGTGGGGCTGCTGGATGGCAGTGAGTGTGGGACCTCTTAGGAAAGGCTGATAACAAATCAGAGAAATGCTGGGAATTCCCTGCTGACGGCTGGCCATGAGCCGGGATGGTGGAGTGCATCAGTGACAAATGGAACTTGCCCTTTAGTGCTGAGTTGTTACTATATAAGGAGGATAAAAGCGCTCATCATCAGAGCAGTTAATTAATATTCCTATTGTGTGTTTGGAAAAAGAAGTCTGGCATGCTAGTAACTGCAATGAAATAATCCATCATTGTTTCATCAACAAGAACAGCAAATGTTAAAAAGAAGTGGTGAGTTTCACTCAGAGGCCCACAGGATTTGGACAAGCTTCCAGAATAGTGACCTGGGGCAAGAGCATCTCTTGGCTGTGGGGAAGGGCATTGCCCCTGCTCCATCAGGGACATGGAGAGGCATTCTCAGGATTTCTGTAGCCATTATGGTTCATTAAATAGAAGGGTAAAGCTATGAGTCCATTCATGATCATTGGATTTTTCATCAAAGTGCTTTGCTGGGAAAATGCAGAGAAAAAGAGGAGTGTCAGGACACCTCTTGACACATTGCAGAGGGACCAGGGCAGTGGAGCACTGTCCACACTATGACTTTGCATAAAGAAAGGTGGTCCCCCACAGCCTGTTGATACTGTTTTTCCCCCCTCCTGACCACTTTTCTTCCTCCACTTCTGCATTCCTGGGCACCCACCTGTCCCCAGCACACACAACCCCATGGGTGATCCAGAGCATTTGGTCCAGGTTGTACAGGAGGGTGCTCATAATTTGGAAAGCAGTACTTTCAGTTGGACTTGGTGCTTCAGAGCTTCTGCCTGGGCTCTTGAGGGTACTGTGGTAGGAGGAGCTGTGCTGGCCTGGAGGAGTTTTTGCTGCAGAGACTGAAAGAAAGCAGCTGCTTTTGGTCTCACATCTTGGGGAGCAACTGAGGTCCGGGGAAGAACCACAGAAAGGATAAAGGAGCTGGAAAAAGTGCCTCTCTAGAAGTTCAGTCACTTTGATTTGCCAGGCAGAACCCAACAGAAGGGATCACTGTGTGTCTATGTGTGTGCCAGTGAGGAGCAGTCACCACCTTTGAGTATCCCAGGACCCTGGAGAAGGTCACATCCATGTCTCAGCATCCTCCCACCAGGACCCAGCTCTCCTGCCTGGCCTGGGCCTCAGATTGTAGCTGTGTCTGAGAAAAGCTGGGTGCTGCACCCCACCAAGGGCACAGTTTTGCTCGCCTCCTCTCCCAGCAATCCCTCTGCTGAGCAGTGGAATGCTCATTGCCAAGGACGGGACCCCATGGATGGGGGAGGAAGAGCACCCAAGTCAGTGGTACAGGGATGAGGTGACAACATCCCACCCCAGCACTGCAGGAGGCTCAAGGGGTAATAAACCTTGCTGGACAAGTTGCCATCAGCAGAATCCAGGAGGGTTATAAAACCTGAATCTCCTGAGCCTTCAGCTGGAGTTGCAGCTGCAGAGCAGGAAGCAAACAGGATCCCGGTTGGCATTGTGAAAGCAAACACCATAAATCTGAGGAAGTGCTGTGATTGCTGTTTTAGGCACTGGGGAGCTTGGCTCCTGGTCCTCCAAGGTATTTTATTTTCTCTCTAAACCAAAAAACAAACAAAACAAAACAAAAACAAAACAAAACAAAACTCAAACAAACAGTCAAACAAAAAATTCCACAACCCTAGTTTATCACTGGCCCAACTGCATTGGTGCTGCTGTGGATCCTGCAGCTGCTCTGGGATGTGGGCAACTTTCCTTACCCAGCACCTTGAGGATGCTTCAAGCACCAGAGTACCCAGGGCACCAGGGCAGGTGCAGGTAAATGCCAGCTCTCAGTGATGATGATTCATGAATGCTCACTGCTCACTGCTCATTGGCATGGCCAGACCCTGGGGTCTGCTCACCTATTTCCACCTCTTCTCACCTGGGGAGAGGTGAGCAGAGGGGTGAGCAAAAGATAGGCAGTCAGGCACTGGGTAGGGAAGACAAGCCAGGGAATGACAGCTGGCTCATGACATCCTTCATCCCATAGCTGGCAAGCCATATAGGGGAGCTCACAGAGGCTGGAGTACAGCCCCACCAGCAATGAGACTGTTGCTCCAAAAAGCGGACAAAATAGAGGGGATTTGAGAAAAAATTGATGCTACCTTACTTTGCAGACTAGCTGCCTGCTGGATAAAGCTCAATGCCAGTGGAGAAGCATGAGCTGCAAGGCATGCTGGCATGCTTTGTGTCTTCCATGGGTGTCCCCGGCCTCAGCACACACACCCTGACCCTCTTTGCAAGGAAGAGGTGTTCTGACCCTAGAGGTTAGGCACAGCATTTCACAGGGGCTCTACAACCCTGGTTGGAGGGGTGTGTGGGTTCCCTGTCAGGGGACAGGACCTGCTGTCTGCAGGTCCCCAGTCATGGGATGGGCTTTTATGTCCTGGGGAGTCCCATGCTGTGGCTCACTCAGACTCTCATGCCCTCTTGCCCTCTCTCGTATAGTCTCATCCACACTTGCTCATGCCCATGTTCCATTCCTTTGAGACTTTCCCAGGTCATTTACCATAGCTGTGGCTGGTCTGCACTCTGCATCAGCCCAGGTTCTGGCATCAGTGGGGCAGCCATGCATTCTCGCTACCCTCAGCCCTGGAAGGCTGTTGGCACCCGCTGTGGCTCTGCAGCACCCTGGGTATCCCAGTGTGTGTGTGCTGCAACCCATGTTTCTGCCTGGGCTCCCCTCAAAGAAACATGCCAGGAGGTCATGGGGTGTTTAGGAAAACAGGCCTTGGCATTTGCTGGCCATACCAGGAAAATAAAAACATCTGGGCAGGCAGTGACTGCGAGAGGCCGGCACTCCATAAATCCCCTCGAGCAGGTGCTTTGTAGTCGGCACAAGGAAATGAGCATATTATTCAGCTTGGCTTAAACCCCAAAATGTTTCCTGTCCTGTGAGTCAGAAATAACCCTAGGAGATCATTCCTAGGCCACGCAGAAACTGCACCAGCCAAAAAAATGCCAGGCACTTGTTGGCCTGAGGACTTGCCAGGGAGGTCAATGGTCCAGGTCTCTTGTCTTGGAGGAGAATTTGCCGCTGGTGAACAGGGTGCTGAGCGCGGGGCTGGGCAGATATGAGAGCATATAAATGGCCCAGAACTGATGAGGATTCACAGGGGACTCCCAGAGTAGTACTGAGCACATTGCCTCATTGGGTTGTAGGGACACAGAGAGCCCCCGGAGGCTGAGGCTTTCTGTGTCCTGGGT